ATAGTATGGAAACTTACTGTTAACCAGTTAACAGGTTTTTACTGTAGCATTTTTACATTCTTTTACTGTTAAAATCACTATCATTTTTTACAGTGTATAAACATTGTATAACATGTAAACAGCCGCTGTACATTGAGTTCTAGTTTCAAATAAAACTATTCATCTCATCCATTTGGAAAATGATTATACAATGACTTTTTCTTTTTCACTTCTAAAAACCGTATTTTTAACAGTATTTTACTGTAAAATTACATTAAATGTAATTACATTTATTCACCGAATATAGTATCATTAATAATGTTAACCAGTTAACAGGTTTTTACTGTAGCATTTTTACATTCTTTTACTGTTAAAATCACAATCATTTTTTACAGTGTATAAACATTGTATAACATGTAAACAGCTGCTGTACATTGAGTTCTAGTTTCAACTAAAACTATTCATCTCATCCATTTGGAAAATGAATTTGATCTTCAGGCTGGGTGAAGGTTAGTGAGGAGTGAACTACCCACACGAGCTCATTGCATAACACAGATATCATCTTTAGTTGGATGATGGCCTATTCCAGGCACCTTCCTGTTCTCTCATTGGGTCATCCCATCAGGAGCTTTTCGAGGGAAGTGGAAGGTTATCTAAAGATGAGAGACAGGTAGAGACAGAGATGACCCGTGTCTTGCTGACAGGATATTATGACGGTATCTGAGAGTGTCACTCTAAATATGTGGGCAAACTAGGAGCTTGTTACATTCACTTCCACTCATTTGCATGCAAATTGTAATCATACATATGCCCATCGTTTTCTGTTACTTTCATATTTATTATTTTATTAAAATTCTAGCAAAATCTGTTTAATTTTGGGTAACAATGTGAGTTGAACCAGAGTCTGAGAAAAATATTTGGCAAGCTTGTAAACAGTAAACAGTTGCATAAGTCAGTCTCCTTACCATACAAATTTCACGCTAACCAGATTACACAACCATTACCTTTAACGTTATCTTATAAGACATATTTTTTAATCTTTTTTTTCATTACGCTTATTTCCATTTAGATTCAATATTGCGTTACCGTTCTGAAGGGTGTATATGCAGGAAAGAGGAGCTTCTTGTCACAAGTGCAAGATATTCATAAAGTAGCATTCTGGACTGGCCCCATAAGGCAAAGTGAAAGACAACATATTCCCAGAATACATTTCACAGGGGTCAGCATGCCAATTTTAGCATTGCAGCTAACTGCAGGTCTAGAATTCTGCACGACATCGAGTCAGGGCTCATGTTATGACCGAGTGAGAGCAAGAGAGGGACACTTTATGGCAGTAAAACAGAGGTACATGACGTTCCCCCTCCCTAAAATAAGTGCATGTCTGAGAGTGGTGAAAAGCTCAGTGTACACACTGCATACGGCTTCTGTAAAGCCCGGTTTCCTTCATAAAGCCCTTGGAGTTACTGTGGCACCCCCGAAGGTCTATTCAACTCTAGTCGCTAAAGTGGCACCCCATTATGGGACTCCCTTGTTTCATCTAGGGTAACCACAATGGGTGGCCATTGCTACTGACAACCCACGATGTCATATGATTAATGGGGAGTCATGCTGATAAGCTCCTGAGTATCACATTGGAGCCCTAAAGCAGCCTCGCACCATCCAAGGACACTAGAAGTGTCACGAGCAATGCAGTATTTTATGTGACACTCAGAGATGGCCTGTAAAACAAGTTAACTTTTGTCCACAGTCACAAAAAGTGACTTAGTTTTACAATATGTTAAATAAAAATAAGTAAACCTTCCTTTGTTTAACATGTGCTGCTTGTAGCATCTGCAGATCTGATGTTGCATGATGGAACTATGAGATGTCTAGCGCATCTTACAAATAAATAAATAAATAAACAAAAATTAAAAAATGTATGTGTTGCCTAAATACAAAACCTAAAGTTAACTTTTATAATAAAACAATAATAGCAGAGGTCCTAAAATAGAACCCTGTGGTATACCATAAGTAATGGCACATAGATTCAATGACTGCATTTAGTCTCAGATTGTTTACAACAGTAATCAGTCAATGGTGAGAATGAAAACCTGAGTGAATTAAAAAAAAAAGATTAATAAGAACTACGCATTATTGCAATCTAGTTATAACAACTTTTTCTAGGGGCCAAGTAATTTTCAACTGCTATTTAAAAAGTTTGCAGTGGCTTTTGATCCTCAGTGTTTAAAAGGACACTTTTGAGTGGCTGCACTTTAAAAGACTTCCTCTTTCCAGTGGTTCAGTGCCTCCTTCATGTTCTTGAAGCAAAAATGTCTTTCCCGTTCCTCATAGTTCTCAAAAAAAGAAAAAAAAAAAACACATCAAAGAGGAAAAACAAATAAAACCAGCCAAAGGCTTGATTTGACTGCTCAGAATTTAATCTCTCATTTATAAACATCACAACAAAATGTTACTCACTTAAAAAACAACCTAAGCCACAAAGTAATGTCAATAATACCAACAAAGCAAAATATTCAATGTCAGCACATCATGAATAAAAATCAGCTTCTGGTGGTGGAGAAACTGAATAAATTAAGTTTAAATGTTGAGACTCTATGCAGGTTCTTGTTCACTGTTGTTGAGTTGTGCATATTCCAGAGCTGCCTGCTGAGAAAGACACAAACAAACTTCACAAAATAGCTTTTAGAGTTGTGTTCTAAGCAAAATTTTTATTTTTAATTACCTGGCTGTCTAAATTAATACAGAGTTAAAACTGTGGACAATATATGCTACTCACTTAAAAAACAACCTAAGCCACAAAGTAATGTCAATAATACCAACAAAGCAAAATATTCAATGTCAGCACATCATGAATAAAAATCAGCTTCTGGTGGTGGAGAAACTGAATAAATTAAGTTTAAATGTTGAGACTCTATGCAGGTTCTTGTTCACTGTTGTTGAGTTGTGCATATTCCAGAGCTGCCTGCTGAGAAAGACACAAACAAACTTCACAAAATAGCTTGCAGAGTTGTGTTCTAAGCAAAATTTTTATTTTTAATTACCTGGCTGTCTAAATTAATACAGAAATAAAACTGTGGACAATATATGCTGCTTTAGTTTCCCCCCCCATAATTTGTAGGAAAGTATTTATTTATGCTTATGATAATTAAGCATGTTTCCCCCTAATGATAAACCTCATAATGAGGGGAAAAAAATAACAATACCTTTTAATGAGAAAAAAAGGCTGACTTTCATATTCATCACTACTATATGAACACAAATATAAAGTATTTCTTTATCATGGCATTTTTTGTTGTACTGCTCTTAATTATGCTGATTCTAGTTAAAAAATTATTTATTTTAATTATTTTTTACTGTAATACAGTGATGATAATGAGACTTTTCCTCTTTGGGTTTTGTATGACTTGACACTTTCCTGACAGTCTTTATAAGCCTGACCAAATCAGATACAGCATATAGAGATTTCTTCTGTGGCATCCATTTCTTCCACAAGAGGGCCTCCCTGTTGCAAAACTATTTGTACATACCTATATGTGGGCTTGTGTGTCTGTGTGTCAACATTGTGCATCACTTACGCCCTCAGCCTGTTCCGAAACTCCTACAAAAAACAAATGAACCACCGTCACAAAAGAGCCGCAGTGGAAAATGTTTTTTAACTTTTGAATATTTAATAACTTCAGCTCAACTTCCTGAACCAACTCCAATCAACTCCCAAGGAAGAGGAGTGCGGTGCCTGCCTTAGGCTTATCGTGTTAGTGCCATGCTAATGTGCCTGTGTAAGTAATCTGTTTCCCTCCAGATGCAGCTATTGTTTGGCAATATGTGGGCATGCCAAAACCCATTTCAGCGTGACCTCTGCTATGTTTCAGCATTGTTTCACACGCATACCACAATGGTTAGCAAGAGGTCTTGCTATTAATCAACTAGGGAAAAGGGACTGTGGAGTGTTTATTTGTGCTGAGGAAACAATAGCCGAGTTTCTGTGTCGTTGGGCAGAGGAACATGAGGCTCCAGGGCCCATTGTGAAAACAGGAAGCTCTTTCCCACCAGCGCAGGAAACAGCCACCTGGCGTCTCATGCATGATGAAAACACCGCACGTTCATTAACAATGTCAGTTTGGACAATTTTACTGCCTGTTATGGTCATGCTCGAAGGGGAGGGTTGCGTGATTCAAAGATCTGAGCTCACCTGGTGTGGACACTTGGACCTCTGTGTGCTGGACACTGTATTCGGGCTCTATGCTTTTCGTCACAGGAACTTCTAAATATGGAAACATTTTGGACACATCAGCATTAAAACTCTAACCAACATTCTTTCTTACATTTTTTGTTAAATAATTGCGAACAATTAAGAAAATGTAAACAAAGTTCTGACACAGCATTTCACACAGAACCAATACCAATGATTCAATAGAACAAATATTCAATATCCAGCTATAACTGACAGATTTTTCACAATGATGCCATCTGAGGGATTCATTGACTGTTGAAGATCTTTGAAACTCACTCTCGGCAACTCACCTCTGCTGGGATCCACTTCCTGTGGCTGAACCAGCTCAGAGTCTTCATCAGCATGATCGTCAGATTCTAGTAAAATATCAAGCAGAGGGTGTCATGTGACGATCTCACATCTCACTGGCATAATTCTGTTTAAAATCTGTACCTGAGCCAGATACATTTTCACTCCAGACATTCCTGCCCATCACACAGGGAGTTCCTGTGAGGCAGAAACAAACAAGATATCAACAACAAACAAGATATGAGTTCAACATTTAGAGACTTTTCAATATGATTCAATATTCAGAATATCATTCAGTCATTTCCATAACCCTGAGGTGTCCAATTCAATGTCCTATAAAATTCAGCTCTAGCCTGTACAAAATACACTCACTGGACATTCTAGCAATCCTAAAGACCTTGATTAGCTAGTTCAGATTTGGTTAATTAGGACTGGAGCTAAACTCTGCAGGACAGTGGCCCTCCATGAGCAGGATTAGACACCACTGCACAAAGATACCAGAAAGGGATATTATTAGTGCTGTCAATTGATAAAAAAAAAAAAAACTAATTAATGACACATTTTTTTTTCTGAAATTAATTGTAATTAACCACAATTAATCCCACTTAATGTTAAAGTTTTTAAATATAGTTTTATATTGCAATAATTTCACATGCAATCTTCAAATGAATGTAGAAACAACACAAAGACAGTATATTTTTAATATTCATTTAGTGGCATTTTTTTATGACTGAAGGTGAGTATCAGTGACACCAATACTGCTACTGATGTCTCTATGAAAGTTTTTTTTCATCCTAATATTTAACCATTGACTATAGCCATTCAACATTACAGTATAATTGAGAGCCATCAATTTGAACATTTAAGACTTTAAAAAATAACAGCTTCTAATTTAAGTGAACCTAAAACAATCTTAACATAAACCCATTATAATAAATGTCATATTTAGCTACCTGTGCTCTTTAGTTAACAGGCAATAATGCAATTGAACTGGAAAAATTAATCACCTGCATTAACAAACTAAGTTTGACAGCACTAGATATTATATAACAATCGGGGGTTTCCCAAAAGCATCATTAGCTGACTATGGCCGCAAATTCCATTGAACTCTATTGGTAATGACAGAACTTGCGACCATAGGTTTGGGAAACACACCTCTGCATAGCGCTCTTTGCATGTAACAAACTCCACAGGAATTACATTTGTAATGCAAAACCAGAAGTTCATTCACCTAGAAAAAGTAGACCTACATAAGAAATGAGGATTTAGACAATTATACAGCTCAAATAATTCTACTTGCGTTGCTGCATGCACAAATTTTAGTTACACATCAAATATGATTTTGTATGGAAATCATCACTACACCCAATTTGTATTGAAACAGAAACTTTAATCTAAATGGTCCAGACTTGACGTTAGTCTAATTAAAGATCAAAGTAACTTTTTTTTTAGGATTTATTGAACACACAACGGCTTAAACAATAGCCAAATGCACTGTATTAATATTCATATGACAAGGATGAGGACATTTGTTACCATTGATAGCGGTGTTGTCTTCAATGTCGAGAGTAAGGCTTATTCTCATTGGGTCACCTGATTTGGGCCTTGAAGGTTTTCTGAGAAAGAAAGCATTTTCAAACAGAATGGAAAAAAACCTTCAAATGATGATATGAGACATAACAAATGATGTAGATGTTAAACAGAAACGAAGAGGCATCTTACACTGATAACTCAGTTGCTTGCTTTTTTCTGCGTGGATGGGACATTTTCTTAAAAAAGACTGTCAGGACTAAGACGATAGCCACCAAAAGCAAGATACAGAACACTCCAATAAGAACTTTCTTCCACAGCGCTAAACTGACTATAAAAAATACACACACACAAATTAGCAGAAAGGACACTTGAACATCTTCAAAAACTTATTCCGTAGACATTTTCACTTTTAGGCCAGAAACATACTCTACACAATTACAACTTCTCAACATTGTCGCAAGGTGAGCTTAGTGAGAGTAGCATTAGTTTTCACTGTCAGTTACTCTTTCAGGTCAACTAACGTACTCGGTTGCTAACGTAACCTCGGTTCCCTGAGATACGGGAACGAGTTCTGTGTCTTGCTTAAGACGCATATGGGAAAAAGCCTTTTTTCCCCTGAACTGAAGCCTATTTCATTCACGCAGTGAAACTGCATGGCCATTGGTTCGTGCAGGGCTTTAAAAACGAACATGAACACCCAGAATGGGCGGGGCATCTGGCTATATAAGCGGGCGCTCGCCACAGGATTCTCAGGTTTACTTCGACTGAAGCGACGACTGAGTCGTGCAGCTACATAGCACGGCCAGCAACGCAGTACTCGTTCCCGTATCTCAGGGAACCGAGGTTACGTTAGTAACCGAGTACGTTCCCTTTCGATACTTCACTCGTACTGCGTCTTGCTTAAGACGCATATGGGAACAGTCCAATCAC